TATAGGGCTTGAAAAATCCGCTCATCTGTGACGAGAGGACGGCAGAGCCCGACGTACAGCTTGCTGGCCTTTGTAATTACACGGCCGGGAGCTTTACATTCAAGCGATCGAGCGTCTCGAAACACCCCATCTCTTGTATTACCAGCAGCTGTCACTGCCGGTCCCGAGATCTGCTGTGCACGTCTCTGTGAAAGGAGACCAAAGGGAGATCAGTACACGAACTCCCTTTTGATCTACTCTCCAGTCCCGGGAATGCAGGAAGTGATGTATATTACATCACTTCCTGCATTCAGTGTCACTTTCCAGCTACAGAACAGAAGCTGATGAAGCAAGATATCAGCTTCTCTGGGGGTCCCTAGGTGACATTAGTGGTCTTGGAGACTCCTGATGTCTTCATAAAGAGGACCTGTCATGTAAATTGGCTATCACATAGGGGTCTTCTTAGTCCCTCCGATGTGATAGCAATAAAGTTGTGTAAAAAAAAAAAATAGAAAAACTAAAGAAGCGGAAAAAATTATTGTGCCGCACATGTTACATATAACCGCGAACGTCGAAGTGTGAGCAATAATTTTAGGGCCATTAATTAGCACTAAATAACACTAAACTGATGAGCGGTAAAAGCGTTTTAAGCGCCATTTTTGGGGGCGCACGCAACTTTAAGGCTTGACATGTTTGGTGTCTATTTACTTGACGTGACCCCGTCTTTTATGTTTTACCAAAAATATGGGTAAGAATAGATGTTTTATAACATAACGTCGGGAAACTTTGTTTTTAAAAAAATTTACTGTACTTTTTTCATTATATAGTAAAAAAAAAAAAAAAAACACCCCAGTGGTAATAATATACCTCCAAAAGAAGCTCTATCTGTCCCCAAAATTTTTTTACATAATTTGCAAGGCTATAGTCCGGTCATGCTGACTGGTGAAGTTTTTGACTGACTGGTGAGACACCCTAAACATTTTCAAGCCCTGTAGATATATATATATATATAACAAAAAATACCACCCAGCAGAATTTGCCGTTTGGCACAGACTCCTCTCCAAACGGGGATAAAACCTGTAATACAGCTTTGCCGTGCACTAAACGGAACTGTGTAAGGTTTTGTCATAAATGAACATTCTTTTCCCTTCCAGTTCAAAATTATTAAATGGATTTTGAAAACTGTGCTCAAAAATGCTGGAGATTCATAATTCGAAAATTGATGATTACATGACTTATTCTACTCTCCTGGTTTGTCATAGAATCCCCCCCCCCTCCTCCCCCAAAAAAACTAATTTATATTTTCCAAACAACTCTCCCAACCTGATAGCATATTACTGGTAAGTAGAGGACTGGAGGGCTTAGGGTCTTTTCTGTAAACGTGAGCTTTAGTTCATCACTTTGCACCTAGTATTTCATACATTTATTTTATATGTGCCGTGCTCCAGATTATGGAAGTCACATGATTGGGGATGTATTTTTCGCGAGCTGTGAACACGATTCTATCCCACAGTTTCCTTGCCTGTCATGTTTCCATAGTAACTCTGTTCTCATTGTCCTTGCAGAGAAGAGCTGAGACAGGCAGCTGAGCACAAGTCCCAGCAGTTAGCGGCTCTGCAGGAGGAGAACCTAAAACTTGCAGAGGAGCTTGGAAGGAGCAAAGAGGAAGTCTCGACTAACCAAAAGGTCAGTAAAGCCTTACTTGGTCTTATTTCTTTCTGTTAAAGGTCTGTCTGATGGTCTGAGTGCCTATAAGTAGGGTGGATAAAATGGTGACTTATAGTAATTGGCGGACCTACCTAAATAACATATAATTGTAAGGCGTATTAAATGTTACATAGTACCCTGTGTAAGGTTACGTAGTTTTCTGCAGGTGAACTGAATTGGGAATATGCAGGTCCCCTTGTAGCACAGGCACTTTGCTTATAATTGCTGCTTGCTTTATCCTAACGGCGATTAATGTTAGGGAATGTAAAAAGACTTCTCTGTATGCCACAATCTGTTTTCTGCCACATAAATATCTGATTCTCTCTTAATAAACACTTTTTACTTTCAGTAAGATCTATCACATTAGTCCTGACAGTTTTTAAATTATAGCAATTTGTCCCCATGGCAACTGTCCTCTTTGCTCACTTGATTGCTCAAAATGAGCGCTAGCAACATACGTTACCTTTAAAACACATGTATAAATGCTTACAAGCATACCATGAGCCTGTGTTCACATTTTGTTCTGTAGGTATGTTAAGTACATTGCTTTACTGGTACTAAACTTCTCAAACGGCGTTGGCCTTTTGATATGATGGGATTGGCTGTTGGCATTTAATATTTGTGCTTGCTAACTGCGGTCTTCCAGATTACTTTTTTATTTGTAATATGTTGTCACATTTTGAAAAGTGAAGAGAACCACGGTCATTGCCACTGTGCAGCTGAATTACTCGGCTTGGAACAAACTCTGTACAGGTTACCTTCTATGGTTGGTAATATAAATGGGTAAATATTTGTTGCAGTGAAGAAAGCTTAAGGTAGTAGTGTTATCATCCATAGTACTGGATTTGTGCATAGCAATACAGTGTGTCATTTCTAGTCTGATCTTAACCCGCGAAAGAACAGTCTGCCTATGTGTGGGTGTCTGCAGTTGGCGCTCTCAGCAGAATTGCTATTTTTGGAACGTGTCAAGCTTTAAAGGTGACAACAATTTGCACAGATTCATGTGATTTACAAAATTAGTATTTCGTTCTAGAAAACCTGATTAATCAGGTTTTCTATGATGAACAAACGAGCACCACGGTCCAGTAATGATTATTAGGATTGTCTAATACCCATTTTGTTGTTCATTTAAAAAAAGAAATGTGAACAAAATAATCTCTCTAACCGATGTTTATCTATGAGGACAATAAATATATTTTTTTGTATTTTATTCAGTGTATCCTATGTTACATACCATTGGGTCACATCAGGCAGCTGAAAGTTAAGGATTTACTTTTTTTGTCCTTTATAAAGATCTGCTTTATTTACTACAGGAAGCTCTACTGCTCTACTGTACATCAGAGTACAGTCAGATATGCAGGCACAACACCTTTAGGGGCAACTTGCTGAATTTACACGAATGATCAGCTTAGCTGTGCATTTATGTTTGTGGCATGGAGTGGGGAAATTATGTGCATACATAAAATGGTGATTGGAGGATTTTTTTGCCTAATCAGCATTGCCTGCCCAGGACTTCAAGTCCGCATTGTCTGTGGGTATATCGCATACACAGGATGGACATTGCATCCAGCCAAAAGCAAGAAGACTAAATTACACCATATAGTGCATTCCACTGGGAATATTAAGAAAGGCACTTGCAAGTTCGATATAGTGCATTTATTCATCCAAAACAAGCTCTGCTCATAGGGGTGCTCACACTGGCACCTCCTAATGGCTTTAGCAAGAATCTACATAGAAGACGCACTTTATTACACAAGACTAAATTCACACTATAGCATTGTATTTAGAAGAAAAAAAAAAGCTTTGACACATTTAACTGAATTTCTGTGGGTTTTCCTGCTGTAATGTGTGATTTTTGTGCAATAAAGTACCCTAAAACACTTCAAATTCAAGCTCAGTGAATATGGGGCAACCCAAGTTCCTGGCTCTGACTATCACTGCTATCATGATGAAACCAGCATATGTCTACTGTAATGGCAAGAGTGTGTGGTCACAGGCTTGTTATATTGTATTTTTTTTGTAGATAATCGTAATATTGTATTGTATTACACCAGGGGTGCCCATTAGGTTGATCGAGATCTACCAGTCGATCGCAACGCGATCCCTGGTAGATCGCAATGTCCTGTCCTCCTGCCATGCTTTCCTTGCTTCTCCTCGGATCCCCCACTGCCTCTGCCTGGGAGAGCAGAGGAGATCCAGAGGAGAAGCTGAGCCCCCCCGTGTGCCAATGTACCAATCCTCTGTGCAGGACAAACACTGGAGCGATCTGCTTATCACTCCAGTGTTTGTAAATAACTGGGGGACACATAGTACTATGCTGCATTAGATTCTCAATGGGTAGTAGCACTCTGTATAGAGGCTCCTCCCCATTCAGAAACTGGATGATAGTAAAATATTTTCTGAATGAATGTGAAGCCTCTGTGCTTTCCATTCATTTAGAAGAGGTGCTGCAGAAAAAGAGATTAAGGACTTTGTGTCCTCAATTTCTTTTTCTATTTTAAAAGGGAAATATCAGGGGGCGCTTCTCCCCCACGTCGGCCACATTCGGCCACACGAGCACCACGGGAGGACAGGACGCCGGCGCCTCTAGAACGCACTGGAATGCAAGCCGGCCCACTCCCTGCGTTCAGGGGGGCATTTTTGCAGATTGCACTGGACCGGAACGCAGGCACTAATGTGCCTGTGTTCCGGGTGCAGGCGATCGCACTGTGGGTGAGGGGCGTGGCTGCGGTGCCATTGACTTCAATGCACCGCAATGCTCCCTCCCCCTCTGAATGCAGGTGTTTTTTCGTTGGTAGATCTCATTGAGCTTGTCATTTGAAAAGTAGATCTTCGAATGAAAAATTGTGGGCGCCCTTGTATTACACTATTACATTACACTTTCCAGCAGCATGTTGAAAACCGTTGATTCCTCTGACATTTCCTATGAAATGCACCATTTACTGTTAAAATGTTACCTGCACAGCTAGAACTGTCAGTTAATAGCACTGACATTGCAGAGCATCAACCACCTCCTGTCCCGGAGTACTGAAGATAGATGAATTATTCATTTTTATTCTTTCCTACTGATTTTACAAAATACACAAGGGTGTTGTATTTTAGTTTTTTGAGCTATAGGACACTACATATAAAATAAGGAAATACAGGCGCTGTGACAATATTGTGACATGTGCGAATGTAAAACTCTAGGTTCAAATATGCTTATAGCATGCTATCACTTCAGTTCACTTCAGTAACACGCAGGTTTTGCACTGGATCCCTGCCTCCTGGAACAAGTGTGCAGATCTAGAGTGCTTGGGTAGCTCTGATTTTTGTAACCTGCATGCATGTCCAGTCAGCGGCTCAAATATTAAAGCCACTGCATGAATGTATGATGTAATTTATCTTGGTATAGGTTTTCTTTTAAATGGGATCTTATGTACAATTGTCTTTAACCACCTGCTGTCCGGCCGTTGTAATTAAGCGTCCGGACAGCGGCTTCTTGAATGCGGGTGGGCGTTTTTAAACGTCCCATCCTGCACCGCTCGTGCCTGCCGCTAGGCGGCGCGCACGAACGGGAAATCGGCTTTGAATGTAAACAGCCAGCGATGGCTGTTTTACATACAAGCATTCAGGCGTCTGTAGAGACGCCCGATCACTTGTAATATGCGTGCGGGTGTGCACCCCACCCCCTCAGTCGCAGCTGCTGCTGGCGATCCCGAGCTCCGCTGTTCCCGGTGTAAGCCCGGGACCAGCACAGCAGCTCTGCGGCCGGAGATCAAACCGAGATCATTACACGAGCTCTGTTTGATCTCCTCCTCATCGGAATGCAGGAAGTGATGTGTATTACATCACTTCCGCATTCCTCTGTCACTCTCCGGTACAGAAACCAGAGAGAAGCAGGTCTCTGCTTCATCAGCTTCTCTGGGGATCCCTAGGTGACATGATTTCTCCATAAAGAGGGCCTGTCACTGCAAATTGGCTATCACATAGGGAGCTTGTTTGCTCCCTGTGATAACAATAAAGTTCAGTGAAAAAAAAGGTTTAAAAAAATGAGTTACAAAAAAATTAAGTCACATATCAAAGCAATAAAAAAAAAAAAAAATTAAAGCCCCCCCCCCCCGCCCCCACATGCACACGCAAACATGCGTCGAGTCCGCCTACGTTCTAAAGCGACGATTACATCCATTGCGCCGCACTTGTTGCATATCGCCGCAAACGTTGCAGTGAGAGCAATAATTCTAGGGCCATCAATCACTGATAACACTAAACTGATGAGCGGTAAAAGCTTCTAAAGCGTCGGCTATGGTCAATTTTGGGTATAGTAGTTTTTTGCGATTTAGTGGGTGCGCGCAATTTTAAAGCTTGACATGTTTGGTGCCTATTTACCCGACTTGACCCTGTCTTTTATATTTTACCAAAAAATTGGGTAATAATAAATGTTTTATAACATAACGTAGGGAGAAAATTTTCGGTACTTTTCTCATTATGTAGTAAAAAAAACAAAAAACCCCAGTGGTGATTAAATACCACCAAAAGAAAGCTCTATCTGTCCCCAAAAAATTGTATAAAATTCATTTCAGTACAGCGTTGTAAATGTCAGTCAAAGTACTGCAGCGCTGAACACTAAAAAATGGCCTGGCCAGGAAGGGGTTTTAAAAACCCGGGTCAGCAAGTGGTTAATGTGGACATAATACTTTGGTGTTGAAGGCTGGCCACACACCAGGCCAATTTTGCTGTTGCTTGGTACTACTGTGCTTTGACTGAACCTGAATGTCAGCCTAAAAGCACTACCAGATGATGCTAACGTTACATTTAACTCCCTATAGATCGTTTTTCAACTGGGAAGTTTTCCTCAAAATGACTAGGGGGGCTGGGACTGAAACTGGTTAAATAAAACATCAGCAGTGTAGGGCAGTACTACATGCACACGCAAACATGCGTCGAGTCCGCCTACGTTCTAAAGCGACGATTACATCCATTGCGCCGCACTTGTTGCATATCGCCGCAAACGTTGCAGTGAGAGCAATAATTCTAGGGCCATCAATCACTGATAACACTAAACTGATGAGCGGTAAAAGCTTCTAAAGCGTCGGCTATGGTCAATTTTGGGTATAGTAGTTTTTTGCGATTTAGTGGGTGCGCGCAATTTTAAAGCTTGACATGTTTGGTGCCTATTTACCCGACTTGACCCTGTCTTTTATATTTTACCAAAAAATTGGGTAATAATAAATGTTTTATAACATAACGTAGGGAGAAAATTTTCGGTACTTTTCTCATTATGTAGTAAAAAAAACAAAAAACCCCAGTGGTGATTAAATACCACCAAAAGAAAGCTCTATCTGTCCCCAAAAAATTGTATAAAATTCATTTCAGTACAGCGTTGTAAATGTCAGTCAAAGTACTGCAGCGCTGAACACTAAAAAATGGCCTGGCCAGGAAGGGGTTTTAAAAACCCGGGTCAGCAAGTGGTTAATGTGGACATAATACTTTGGTGTTGAAGGCTGGCCACACACCAGGCCAATTTTGCTGTTGCTTGGTACTACTGTGCTTTGACTGAACCTGAATGTCAGCCTAAAAGCACTACCAGATGATGCTAACGTTACATTTAACTCCCTATAGATCGTTTTTCAACTGGGAAGTTTTCCTCAAAATGACTAGGGGGGCTGGGACTGAAACTGGTTAAATAAAACATCAGCAGTGTAGGGCAGTACTGTCTCCATTAACACAACATACCAAAAAAATGTTTTTATAAATATACCGTTGAGCTGTTCTTTGGTGAAGGCCTTTGTGCAATTTCCAACATACTCTGAGCAGTTTGAGAGTGAAATAGAGTGTCTGACTGAGGGTCAGATTGATCTTCCTCTATAACACACAATGCTTTAACCCTTTCTTAGGACAGTCAAATCTAGTTTACAATCGATAATTAAATCTACCAGCATAGTACAGACAGGGTTGATAAAAGTAAACAATACTTTGCAAAATCCCCTCCTTAGCATTGCATAGGGAGGAGGCTAGGTAATTTTTAAGCCAGTATAAAGCACTTAAAAATGTAAGGGGCAATGTTCAATGATTTTTAAGTTTTGCTATGTAACATAAAATATATAAATTGATGTTATGTTATCCTAATTTGGCTGCAAAAGTGGAACTACACTTTAAAGCTGAACTCTGGTCACCATGATTATATACTTGGATGTGTTTTTATGTCCTTACCTCTGCATTGTAGTAGGTTTTTCTTCTTTTCAGAATCTGCATAAAAATTCTGCTTTTAGTTCCGCCTTTTGGTACAGTATTTTCTACTATTCTGCTCCCTGCTGACACCATATCTAATGCAATGTTTCCATCCTTGTGTATGCTTTGCTTATTGGCAACGTCCTCACATGCTTCCTCATGGGTGAAGACAATACTGGTGTCCGTCATGGCTGCAGTGCTGACATCAGTGGGGAGCAGAAATACAGCAGAAGATGAACCAAAATAATTAAAAGCATTACAAACTTACTACATAGGTTGAAACATAAAACACATCCACAGATGGTGTAATCATGGTAACCAAAGTTCAGTTTCAATGCTTAGTAGTTTTGCACTCTTAACATTTCTAACTATGGTCTTGGACCATAGAGTTCTGTAATGAATACACTCTATATTATTAACTTTTATGTTTTGTTTTAGCTCGAAGAGGAGAGATCAGTATTAAATAACCAACTACTAGAAATGAAAAAAAGGTAAATTTTTTTTTGCTTAAATTGAAATTCTATTTCCATGTTTGCATTATGTTATGCCTAAAGATTTAATGATGGTTTAAAGCAGGGCCAGGCTGACCCAGAGGCAGGGGAGGCATCTGGCGCTGTCGTGTCGCTGGGATTGGAGCCTGTCTCTGCGGTCTCCTGCGCTCTGCAAGATCACTATGTCAACATACAGATCAACCCTACTGACTGTTCACATGGGGAGATTGGCTCTCCAAGTGTACTCTGCTGTCCCTGAACATTATCAGAATCTCCTGATAAACATAGTCCCGCAGACAGCTTTCACATGGACCGCAGACCCCTGTTGATTACACTGGGAAGCTAGGAGAGCCAATCTCCCTGTGTAAACAGTCAGCAGCACTAATCTGCAATGCTAAGTTGTCAATATGACAACTCCGTTCTACTCTTTCTTATTTATGAATAAAAGCTGCAGTTGTCGCTATTATTCAAAAATTGGTGTTGTGTGAACTGTAAGCCTATTAAAATGCATACAAGTTTAACCCCTTGCTAGCACTGATTACATTTAATGAACCTCTTCATCACCTCCTTCCGTTAGTTTTGGGGGTTCCTCTTGCTTTTTTTCTGTTCCTATATAAGGGAAAAATAACGGAATAAAATTTGACTTGATGAGTTATAAGATACTTTTGTTCCCAGATGGTAGAGCAGATTTTTTTTTTACTATGTTAATTACATTTTGGTTCTATTTCCCCATGCTTAATATGACTACATTAAAAAAAAGCTGACCACATTTCAACACCTCCCTCCAATGCAGGGCCCAATACATGGTAATTTGAGACCCAGCGTTGGCCCACTCAGTATACGCATGGACATGCAAGCTTCATCCATCTCAGGTTTTGCGGGGGCCCATTTTGCCATCTTTTGTCTTGGGTGTCACAGGACTTTGTCCCAGCACTGGTGTACAATTACTGGACCAATACAGTATACTGTGTTACTGCTTTCCATATCTGAACCCAAATGCAACACCCAATATGTGTTCAATTCCACAGCATGTAACCCATTTATACACCTGAACCAATATTTTTTCAGCCAGCAAGATTGTGTAGTAGTGTGATTTATTTTTTTAAGCAATTGCACCCCAGCTTACAGGAGTTTGTAAGCAGAGCCACTATAACCTACATGAGTAGTTCACTGAAGTTATAGTCACTGTAAGACCACTATAAATAGAATCCAAAGCAAACTTTTTCCCTTTGACCCCCATATGCACTCATTTCCAGCTTGTGTCCTGATAGTTCACAGTAATAGTGTTTTTTGTTAACATAGACTTGGAATCTGCCCTGCACCGGCAAAGAACAGATTCACCTTAGGCTTTAAGATTGGTTTATGTTTGACATTTTTGGATGTGTTTATGACGCGTTCCGGTGCATTTCTTTTTCTTTCTTTTTTTTTAGCTTAAAATGCGCTTTCAGGGGCAGTCCAGTGCATTTGTGAGGCATTTTGGTGTGTTCCAGACCAGAAAAAATAGTGCATGCAGCATTTGTTTCCTCCCGAACCGGAATGGACTGCACTGGTGCGAACATTGCACACCAGTGCTTTCACACACCATGGTCCGGACATGGTGTGTAAAAGCCCTAAAATAGCATATGCCCAGTTAATGTGTTTCAAATTTGGTTTGTAGAGAATTTCAAACTTGCACTTTTTTTTTAAATTTATGCTTTTGTTATGTAGACTTTTTCCGCTATATAGTGAGAATATATTGTCATTTTCTAGGTTTGGCTAGAAGTATCTTATTTTTTTATTTAATTTTTTTAATGTTGTTTTAACAACTCTACCCACACATGCTGTGTTTTGGTTGCCATATAGATCATTTGCGACCTGATTATTTACATAGCATTTTATTGTTTCTACTTTCCTACTCTGGTTCTCATTCACCAAATCATTTTATTGTCTGGTTATATAACAAATGGTAAGAAACTGAGCTCACTATTGCAACCTAGGTTTTATGGCTTTTTTATGTATAGATATAGATTGTTCACATGACCCAATTACTGCTCCTGGGCCCAAGCTCACTCTTGCCTTATCTGCTAGCAGAATTCTGAGCTCCGTCAGTTACCTTTGTGACAAACAAAAAGCTGCACACCAATTCCTCGTTTGTATATTAAACTTTATTGTAGCAGTAGCTATAGCACACTCCAACTTCCCAGTTTCTCATGAGTTTTGCTTCTTAATCTTAGACTCTGTTGATTAAACCCGAGTGGAGGTCGAAATGCATTGGAAACGGGGGAAGTGTCTCTGCTGCCACCTGTACATTAAGGATAAAATGCAAAAGAGGAAGCAGTGTGTGACTTTAAGTTTGTTGGTTATAGGCACAGTTACATACAACAGTGGATTGAACTGTTGGCATCTTCTGGATTTTCTTCTTGTGTGATTGCTAATAGCACTTTAGCATTTATTGGCAACCTATCCAGAAGTGTTACTTCTATGCTACATATTTAAATGACTTTTGTTATATGTCATTGTTGTATGGAGCTTTTTGCCCCCCCTTTGCTTACGTTACTTATTTGCAAATTAACTTGCATATATAAGGGTCTGTGTCAGTCGGCTTTTGTTCATGTCAAAATTGCTTCTTTCCCCCATACAATTAATTTGGAATGGAAAAGCAACTTCAAGCAGGATGAAGCAATTTAAAAGGAGGTTAATTTTAGGTCATAGGGAGGTCAACTGCAGGTCAAATGTCCAAAAATTATCTCTTAGGGGTTCCAAGGCTCCCCCATTTAATATGAAAACCGTTATGTCGCAGTCTGTGTCCCCATTTGAGTCTCGTCACTTTCTATTCTGACAAAGTGAGGGGAAATCCCCTGCCCCAGTGGGACACAGAGACCACACATGAAATGCGTGTGCAGAAACCTGACCGGATCTGGTCTGCATTTGGTGTGAACAAGGCCTAAGAGATTCTTACCTTTCCTTACTCTGCCCAAAAAAAAATTTGTAAAAGTTTTCTCTGGCATTAGGCTTTAAAAATAGTCTGCTCCAGTTTTGATAAATTCCTCTTAAGGTGGCCATACACTTTACAACCATTGCAAGACCTTAGTCTTGCGATGGTTGTAAAGTAATTTTAAAAACCGTACGATCTGCCCATCTTGGACAGGCAGATCGTACTTGCGATCATTGCAAGCACGCTCCCCTGAGGGGCGGGCTTCCGATGACTGCAATGCTGAACGGGTAGTGTGCGCGTGCGCACACCGGCCCGTTCGGCATTTGTCTCCTGAGCATCATTCAAACCAGCCAAAAATCGTAAGATTTTCGGCTGGTTTTCTAGCATGCTTCTTAGACAAGACGTGCGACCATACAGTAGAAACGGTCGCACACCTTCATTCACACTGCACTATTCTCGTACGAGAATCGTGTAGTGTATGGGCCACCTTTATTCTGTGTGCCAAAGCCTGCTTTCACACAATCTGCAGCTGCTTATTAATTTAATCAGGAACTAAGATGGTAAACGTCACCTGTAATGTCATTGCAGGTAGAGCATGGTATCATAGGTTAAACATTTGAGATATAATTGGCCTCAAACTGTTGTTTTCGAGGAGGTCATGTATATCTAAACCCAAAAATGAAATGCAATCTATTGCAGCTTGCCAGTTCGTACGTGGTTTGTTTTTTTTGTCCCCTGTGTAAGTACATTTTCTGCAAATACATAAAATACCTGTTGATCCTGTCAGAAATATCAAGTCTTCATAAAGTTTCTGAACGCTAAACTGAAATTTCAATCAGTGTTATCAGTCTTCCCAGCTGTCTTCTGTGATCTGCAAAACACTACCTCTTTATGTATTGAAGATGAAGAGGAGGTGTTTGTAGTCCAAATCAGGAGCTCATCCTAGCATAATGCTGCTCCTTCATAGAATATAGTACAGGGAATGTGTAATTGGCAGGATCACCAAGTAAAAATAAAAGGAAAAAAGCCTACTAAAGGAACAGAAATGCATCCACCACGTCTAAGGGCTGTTAAGTTGCAATATATTCAAATTTAGGGAAGGGGGGCTAGATACGCTTTAAAGTGATATTAACGTTTCCCAGATTTTTTATTTTTTTTTTTAAATGCATGCAGCTAGATAAATCTAACTGCATGAAATGCTCTGTTTGGGCTGCAGATAATCTCTCTTGAATTTTTCCCCCAGTGCTGCAGATAACTTCCGTTCCAAGGATGGCTCCATTCTCTTGCTGTGTCGTATAGAGCCACCCTCTAGTGCGCGCGCCTGTGCTCAGGACTGCGAGCTTGGGTCACAAGACGCTGGCTAGCCCGATGTAATTAGAAACACCTCCTCAGGTGATTGACAGCAACTACCGTATATATTTCCGCAAGGTAGTTTTTCTTTTTTAAACAAACTTTATTTAAAATTTCACAATGTCACAATTACACTGCTCCACACTTTATGTACATTTTAAATAATGTTTGTTTTATTTTAAAAAAAGGACCTTATGAAGATATACTGGTCCCGCTGTCAATCACCTGAAGAGGTGTTTCTAATGATGTTGGGCTGCCTGTGTGTGCACGCACAGGCAGCGTCTTACAAAAGCTTGTAGTCCTAAGCATAGGAGCGTGCACTAGATAGGACACAGCAAGAGAATGGAGATATTCTCAGAACAGAAGTCATCTGCTGCACTGGGGGAAAAGGAGTAATCAAATAGACGATCTGCAGACCAAAGAGAGCATCTCATGCAGTAAGATTTATCTAGTTACATGCATATTTTTTTTTTAAATCTGTGAAACTTTAATATCACTTTAAGACTTGTAACATTGAAAATGTAAAAAACTGGTTTAGGATGGGGGCACTTTGCGAGAGAAATCCATGCTTCATTTACAGAGGAAAATGTCATATATGTTATTGGTTCTGTACATTTGAATGCAGTAATAGGTGTGTTCAGGTAGAAAAAAGATATATCATGTTGACTTTCTTAAATTGATTTTCTTTGTCATCCTTCCTCTGTGTATGGCAAGGCCTAACTAATAAGTAGTAAATGATCACAGTACATTTTACCAACCTTTGTATTACATTGAATAATGTCCTGTAACTGAAATTTTGGATTGCAAACTGTCCTGCTTTGTTTCAGCTTGCGCTGCTAATCAATGCTCATCCCATTCCTTTCTCCCTTTCTACTTTTTGCTTCCTTTGCTATATCTGTGTGTCTTTTAATGGTAAGACTGAAGAAAGTCTATCCCCGTTACAACAAATAGTTTTATTTTTTTATTTCATATTTTTTTAGTACAGCATTGTTGTACGTATTTTGGCTGCATATGTCCCAAAGTGTCTTGCTTTTGTTTTTGTAAAAAAGAAAAAAAAAAAAAAGCTGCAATTATTTTTCCAACCAAAAAAAAAAGGAACTTTCCACATTTTTTCCTACTTGTATATCATATATTTTCTCTACTCACATTTTCTAACATGTGGTCTTTGTTATCTTGCATTTTTTAAGCTTACCCAGTAACACAGTAAGGTACTTGTTTAATTACTGAATGTGTATGAGTAATAAGAGAAGAATCTTTGACCCAGCAGAGTAGGTTTAGGCTAAGCTGAGCATGCTGGGAATTGTATCCCAGTAGCCAACAGAGAGCCAAGAATTACCATGTAGGAATGGTGATCAGGTGGCGTGTTCTCCAGTCAACTTGTCTTCTATTCTATTACAGCAAAAAAGGGTGCACCTGAAACCTTTTACAGAATGTGCATCCTTCTTGATTTCCTCTTCTTTCTGTCGTAACCATTTAAGCCTTCATGCACATTTCACATATTTTCAGACAGTGTAATTCAAACATCTGAGGCACAGAAGGGTATATTGTCACCTCTCATTATTTGTGCTTCTACTTATATTCTTCTTGACACCTTTTGCAAAGGATGAATAGACCTAATCCAATCATCATATTCTTACTCTATAAACATGGAGCATTTTCGAATGACGAAATGAAATTGTCATTTTACCGCTACCTACAAGGCAGCCCTACCTGACCTAGGGATTTAGTCTAGTGCACATTTGTTCTACGGCAATGGACACCAAAGTTTAGATTCTCCACTTGCTACTCTACTTTTTGTGTTCATGTGCCAAGTCGTCAGTATGTTGCTTCTTTTTACTTTATTTAATATGGCATTGTGTTTCTTGTAATGGAAATCAAAGGTCTTGAAATTCCCACCAGTAGTTAGGGATTGAAGGGATAGCGCTTATCGTTTTAGTCAACTACACACGTGGTCACACTTTGGAAACAAACTATTTTAGTAGCATTTTTATTTTAATCAATCTCAAGTGTTTTCCATGTAGTTAGTACTTTAAATATATACCTGGTCACTTTACTCATACCAGATTAATATTTTTAAATTGCAAAGTTTTAGTTTGTATTAAAAGTTAACTTTAGAGTAAGTTCATGCAGTGCCGCCTTTAATTTCTTTTTTTCAACCAAGATACACCAAGTGATCACATAGCTGTACTATATTAAGCAAGTGGAAAGCTGTCATAGACTGGAATTTGTGTGTTAATTCCACTGACAGGAGATAAATTACAGCATTAATAATACCACTGAAGAGGACCAGCTGATCCTTCCATCATCATACCCAATGCTTTGCATGATTTTTGTGCAGTAAAGCTGTGCATGTTATTGTGTGTCTCTTGGTAACTTCACTAAAAGTTTTCTGCTGTATTGATTTTTAAAAAAAAGCATAAATCTGTGTTTTGATATTTGAATGTAATAAGTTATGTAAATGTGAGATTTACCTTTTTTGTTTTCCCACAGGATTTGTATTGCTTAAAAGCTTTTTAGAAAACCCTTTTAAAGTGTCACCCAGGAGGTGAATGGAGGCAGTAATGGTAATCTGCTTATCACCCTTCGCCACAGTGCCCTAATGAGGCAATCTAAGCGCTTACAGTAAACACATCTTCCTTCTGTCTGCTATAAGAAGATTCCCTATAGACTTCCACAGGAAATCTTCTGTCTGGCACACAGATTAGGAAGACATTTATCCAGAATTGCTTTGCATTGGGGCCAAAAGGCACAGGATAGAGACAGATTTATACCACTGCTTCCTCTCCACCCAAAAACCTGGCTGCAGATCCCCTCATTTTTTACTTTCTTCCTAGGAAGTAGTACTTTGCACTGCACATACTGTTGGCGCTATATAAATCCTGTATAATAATTTATGGCATGATTTTAGTACAGACCATTTCCTAATATGTTCTCTAGTTACTTCTTTCTTGTTTGGTTTTTTACTTTGCTTCACACAGTGAATCTATTCTAAAGAAAGAGTTTGGTGAAGAGAAGTCCTCTCTACAGAAGTCTCTCTCCAGTACCAGTGCCTTGATCACTGAAAAGGACAAAGAACTGGAAAGACTTCGAAAGGAGGTAAGAGCTGGTACTAAACAGCAACGTGTTTTCCGCTGTCCACAGTTAGCTGTATGGAATCCATGGGATGGATGGACAGGTCTTAGCTAAACATATAACAACACATCTCCTATTTAAGCAGTTTGTGATCTGTTTCTTCAGTGACTACCTTCCATGCTTTGTTCTCATGTCAGGCCTGCATTTACACTGCACTTGTAAACAAAGCAATCTTTACATTAACACAGGGCTGTGATGATAGCTTTCAAAGAAATATATGAGTTAGAGGTATCTGGTTATATTATAACATTTGCATGGAATCTCTGGATGTGTTAGCAGTGCAGTTAGCTGCTTTATTTAGATACGTAATTTGCATTCATAATCCCTAGAAAATGTTAGCTTAGTTTCAGGGAGGTAATGCAACTTCTGGTTTTAAATTACCTTAAAGCTAATTGTATCTGTAAAAAATAAGTCAAGGCAACTGGACTCGCTGTATTTTTCTTGAAGAAGTTTCACTGGTCATCCAACCAGCTTACTCAGTTCGGAATGAATGTTACAAAAATTCTATGGCAATAAATGTGGTGAATGTCGCTCCAATCCACATAATCTGTTAAGCGCAACCAGGTGTTTATTGCATTTGCATAATTAGAGCTAGTGGGTGTTATTAACCTGCCAAGAGAGAGGTTAAAACAGCATTGTATGTAGCAGACTCAAGATGTCTTTCCCGTCTCCCCCCCTCCACCTCTATTCAAGCTTGGCTTCTCGATTTTTACATAAATGGCATCTGTTTGAAATAAAATTACCACCACCCCAAGTAAAGACCAAAAAACACAATAGGGAGATAGATTACACACACATATAGAATAATCATACTCTTAACTAAAATATACTGGGGGGGTATTTATCAAAACTGGAGCAGAGAGAATCTGGATCAGCTGTGCATGACAACCAATCTTCTGATTCTCTCTTCAGTTTGTTCAGTTAAGATTTGAAAATGAAAGATAAAAGCTGATTGGTCGCCATGCACAGCTGCTCCAGATGGTCTCTGCCCCGGTTTTGATAAATCACCCTCACATCTACCAATGGCGATTTCACATAAACCTCATATAGTAACAGGAAGTCAGCTTTGTTTTTTTTAAATATAGCTCCCACTACCCTACTTTTAAATATCCTGCTCTGCTAATCTCCAGAAAATTAGTGCAGATTAATTTATGAAAGTATCTGAACCTTTTTTCTGTCATGTAATTAGTTTTAATTCTTGTGCATTTGGCTTTCTGGTGACGAAAGTCGATGTTGACTCATTAAAGATCTTTCTTCTGGAATAAGCGACAACTGTGCGTTGGATTTCTGTGCAGCTGACATGCCGAAGGCACAATAGCTTTTTTCTTCTTTGAATCAATCTGAGACAGTTATTCATGGCCTTTTGAAGCCGTAATTAAATGCATGATCCATTTAGTGATGGTTTGAATGCTGCATGAGTACACAGCTTGACCGTAAGACACCAGCGATTTTTACCGATTCCAAAGAGTAACAATGGATGTAAAGGTTAGTTTACATGGTGTGTGTGGGTTGTTGAGTGGCATATTTAGGTGTTTAGATACTGTAGATGTTGTTTTCCTGGATATAATACCTTGCTGGCTGTTTTGGTTGTGCTGTAGATTCATATTTATAGAACAAAGGTGTAAAGTATAAATATACAAAATTACTTCTCTTAGTTTAGTTTGTATGTAAACACATTCCTGTGTCTTTTTTTTCTTTTTAGATTAAGAATATAATAGATTAAGAGTATAATATATGTATAATAATGTGATCAGCCTAAACTAGAATTCAAGGTTTGCTGAAAACAGTGTTTTCCAGTTGCTTTTTCCTTTAGTCTTTTAACCATTTTGTCGCTGGGACAATTTTTCCATTTTTTACCCACATGGTAAAATGCACATTATTACCGTGAACATGTACTAAAGACCCCAAAAACATACTTTCTCAAAGAAGCCCTTTCAAATAGAAAAGGGTGGTAGTCTCCATTTTATGTTGCACTATATATGCACCATGTTTATTAAATGTAATTTTTTTTAAATTAAAATTTACAAATTTTTTGATGCTATGGAAAAGGAATTCAGTGGAGTTCCAGCTGCCCATATTAGTTCTATTGAATATAGGAAAATATGCTGTCAAATTTTAACACAGCATTACAGTAGTTATTGTCTGACCCTATGGTAATTGTCGTAAGAGGTTTATAGTTTTTAGAAATATGTGCACTGCTATTGCGGAGCACCTTCTGAATATGCCTTTCTGGCGTCAATACTTTGCGTCGCTGCTCTGAAAAAAGCATTTAGCAGCCAAAGTCAGTGAAGTCACAACTCATAATTGTTCCACATTAGTCCTATACTGAGGATATGGGAGTAGCACGACAGCCAGGTTACTAGCTTTTTCAGGGGAAGATCTAAGTAACGACAGCTGCCATATTTCCTCAGTACAGGTTTCTGGCTACATTTTTATTTAAAGGAGAAATATGAGGTGAGTGAATTACCCTCATCCCCATAGTTAGAGCCGATGTGTGATATTGAAACTGTCACATGTCGGCTCTATGGACCGGGAAGTGAGCGAAAACATACCGCCGCTCGCTCACTTACTTCCTGATCATCTCCCTGCAGAGAGCGGTGACTATCAGTCACTTAAAAAAAAAAAAAAGCTGCAATTATTTTTCCAACCAAAAAAAAAAGGAACTTTCCACATTTTTTCCTACTTGTATATCATATATTTTCTCTACTCACATTTTCTAACATGTGGTCTTTGTTATCTTGCATTTTTTAAGCTTACCCAGTAACACAGTAAGGTACTTGTTTAATTACTGAATGTGTATGAGTAATAAGAGAAGAATCTTTGACCCAGCAGAGTAGGTTTAGGCTAAGCTGAGCATGCTGGGAATTGTATCCCAGTAGCCAACAGAGAGCCAAGAATTACCATGTAGGAATGGTGATCAGGTGGCGTGTTCTCCAGTCAACTTGTCTTCTATTCTATTACAGCAAAAAAGGGTGCACCTGAAACCTTTTACAGAATGTGCATCCTTCTTGATTTCCTCTTCTTTCTGTCGTAACCATTTAAGCCTTCATGCACATTTCACATATTTTCAGACAGTGTAATTCAAACATCTGAGGCACAGAAGGGTATATTGTCACCTCTCATTATTTGTGCTTCTACTTATATTCTTCTTGACACCTTTTGCAAAGGATGAATAGACCTAATCCAATCATCATATTCTTACTCTATAAACATGGAGCATTTTCGAATGACGAAATGAAATTGTCATTTTACCGCTACCTACAAGGCAGCCCTACCTGACCTAGGGATTTAGTCTAGTGCACATTTGTTCTACGGCAATGGACACCAAAGTTTAGATTCTCCACTTGCTACTCTACTTTTTGTGTTCATGTGCCAAGTCGTCAGTATGTTGCTTCTTTTTACTTTATTTAATATGGCATTGTGTTTCTTGTAATGGAAATCAAAGGTCTTGAAATTCCCACCAGTAGTTAGGGATTGAAGGGATAGCGCTTATCGTTTTAGTCAACTACACACGTGGTCACACTTTGGAAACAAACTATTTTAGTAGCATTTTTATTTTAATCAATCTCAAGTGTTTTCCATGTAGTTAGTACTTTAAATATATACCTGGTCACTTTACTCATACCAGATTAATATTTTTAAATTGCAAAGTTTTAGTTTGTATTAAAAGTTAACTTTAGAGTAAGTTCATGCAGTGCCGCCTTTAATTTCTTTTTTTCAACCAAGATACACCAAGTGATCACATAGCTGTACTATATTAAGCAAGTGGAAAGCTGTCATAGACTGGAATTTGTGTGTTAATTCCACTGACAGGAGATAAATTACAGCATTAATAATACCACTGAAGAGGACCAGCTGATCCTTCCATCATCATACCCAATGCTTTGCATGATTTTTGTGCAGTAAAGCTGTGCATGTTATTGTGTGTCTCTTGGTAACTTCACTAAAAGTTTTCTGCTGTATTGATTTTTAAAAAAAAGCATAAATCTGTGTTTTGATATTTGAATGTAATAAGTTATGTAAATGTGAGATTTACCTTTTTTGTTTTCCCACAGGATTTGTATTGCTTAAAAGCTTTTTAGAAAACCCTTTTAAAGTGTCACCCAGGAGGTGAATGGAGGCAGTAATGGTAATCTGCTTATCACCCTTCGCCACAGTGCCCTAATGAGGCAATCTAAGCGCTTACAGTAAACACATCTTCCTTCTGTCTGCTATAAGAAGATTCCCTATAGACTTCCACAGGAAATCTTCTGTCTGGCACACAGATTAGGAAGACATTTATCCAGAATTGCTTTGCATTGGGGCCAAAAGGCACAGGATAGAGACAGATTTATACCACTGCTTCCTCTCCACCCAAAAACCTGGCTGCAGATCCCCTCATTTTTTACTTTCTTCCTAGGAAGTAGTACTTTGCACTGCACATACTGTTGGCGCTATATAAATCCTGTATAATAATTTATGGCATGATTTTAGTACAGACCATTTCCTAATATGTTCTCTAGTTACTTCTTTCTTGTTTGGTTTTTTACTTTGCTTCACACAGTGAATCTATTCTAAAGAAAGAGTTTGGTGAAGAGAAGTCCTCTCTACAGAAGTCTCTCTCCAGTACCAGTGCCTTGATCACTGAAAAGGACAAAGAACTGGAAAGACTTCGAAAGGAGGTAAGAGCTGGTACTAAACAGCAACGTGTTTTCCGCTGTCCACAGTTAGCTGTATGGAATCCATGGGATGGATGGACAGGTCTTAGCTAAACATATAACAACACATCTCCTATTTAAGCAGTTTGTGATCTGTTTCTTCAGTGACTACCTTCCATGCTTTGTTCTCATGTCTGGCCTGCATTTACACTGCACTTGTAAACAAAGCAATCTTTACATTAACACAGGGCTGTGATGATAGCTTTCAAAGAAATATATGAGTTAGAGGTATCTGGTTATATTATAACATTTGCATGGAATCTCTGG